GGGGGGGGGGGGGGGGGGGCGGGGATTAATCCCGGGCGCCAGAGCGGAGCCCACAAGCGCGCTCAGGTCATCAGCGCCTCGGGGGCACATCCTGCGTCCCCGCCCGGGTGCCGGACAAGGGCTGTCACTCCCTGAGGCAGCAGTGGACTCCCTGTCCCGGGCTCGCCTGCTGGGCACGCGGCGGGAACACTCGCACAGTGCCCGACTCGAGCCAACACCCAGCTCACACCCACTCACAGGCCCACACACTCACCCGCTCATCCATTCACTTGCTCATTCATTCATCCACCCACTCATTCACCCACCCACTCACCCACCCACCCACCCACCCACTCACCCACCCACTCACATACCCCCTCAGTCACTCATCACCCGCTCCCTCGCTCACAGTGGCCCTGTAACGGCTGAGGGCCACTGGCATTTGAACATGTGCTCACTCACTCAGCAGACGTACTGGGGACACGAAGTGACTCAATCCGGCCCCACCCTGTCCCCACAGAGCTCCAGGCCTGGGGGAGGGTGCAGAGCTGTGCTGGCGGCCAGGCCCCGAGAAGGCGGCTGACAGGGAGGGTGGTCCAAGGACAATGAGAAGCCAGAGATGGAGAGAGACGTGGGGGCGAGCGCTCCCAGCAGGGGTGAGGAGGGACGGGCAAGGTGAGCCTGGAGGGTGACCCCCACTCGGGCAGGGTGGGTGGCGCCCAGGGGAGGGACCGGGAAGGCCACTGAGCTCAGCTGGACTGGACCCTAGCGGGGCTCCGAGGCTGGGGCGTGGGTGCTCCGTGTCGGGCACCAGGGGACACACATGGCCCTCAGCGGAGGGGACACTGCCCAGGTGTGTGGCACGGGGGGGTCTACACTGGCCTGTAGCCCCGGGCAAGCCGGGACCCCCTGAGCTTCGTTCTGGTGAAGCCTCACCTCCCCGCAGGACGGCGGGTCCCGGAAGGAGCCAAGGCTTCGGAGAAGCTGAAGGGACTCGGCAGCCACTTCCATCCACACCCACCAAGCGCACCTGGGACGTCCCTGCACCGAGCACCACGTGCGCACCGACCCATTTCACAGATGAGGACACGGAGGGGCGGGGAGAGGGTCATGCAGCCGGCACGTGGCGGGCTGGGAGCTGACCCAGCGCTGTTCTCAGCGGGGACTCTCCGTGGCCGGGCTCTGACCCTGACCCCGCCCCCCCGAAGTATGTCCTTCCCAGGGAGCCCTGCTGCCGGCCCTTGTCACCCACGGGGTGTAAATGTCAACCTGTGAGGTCTCCACTGAGAGAGCTCAGGCAGGAGGAGGCTCCAGGGCCCAGCGCTTGCGGCCAGAGCAGCGACAGGCACGCGGTGGCGCCCCCTCCCCTCCTGGCTGCACCCAGCCCCGTGGCTTGTACAACGTGGATGGTATCTGCACTGTCCCCAACCGGGCAAAGGGCAGGGCTGTGTCTTGTTCACCTCTGCGTCCCCAGCAGGGTCAACACTGGGCCTGGCCCACAGGGGACTCAACAAGGGCTTGTTGAATAAATGCCCTCTGGACTCTGATGTTCCAGAATACCCCATGGTTCTAGAATCTTCTCTAGTTCTACGGCCAGCGCTCCTCCCTCAGGAGCACAGGGGACGGTTCCCAGAGCATGCCAGGCCCCTGGGCGCCCTCTGGCATGATGCCGGCTGGGCTGGGGTGGTCGGGCCCCTGCCCTGCTGAAGGGGGGGAGCCGTCGGAGGCCTTGCCCCGCCCCCCGCAGCACGCAGCAGTGCCAGAGGTGGGGTGCAGAGTGAGCAGGAAACACTCAGCGCTCAGGGGCCTGAACCAACCCCCCTCTTCATAGACGTTTCCACTGGAGCGGAGCTCCGTGCCTCCCGTCCACACCCGGCTGCACCTGCACCTGAAGGCACGCCACGTCCTCCCACGGCGAGGTCGGCGGAGCACGGCCGGCCGAGGAACCCAACCAGGGCACACCAGTGGCCCGGAGCTGGGGTGTCACGCCCGGGGCAGGCACCCCTCCCCACTTACCTCCTCCGAGGTCCTGCGCTTCTATGTGCACCAGGTCAGGGTCGGCGTCCACCCCAGACACAGCCCTGGAAGAGAGCGGGCGGGGGGCTGGCGCCGAGAAGGGAGGCCCCACGCCCTCTCGGTGCCCGCGTCCAGCCCTGAACCCCAGTAGCCCCGTGGCCTGTGGCTCTGAGGGCACGGTCCCCCCCCTGCTCCTGGGGAGGGAGCCACAACCCAGGGTGCGCTTGGCATCCTTCTTTTCAAAGTTCTTTTAATAGAAGACTCTCTTTTACCAAAGATTTCACATTCCTTGTATCTTGGTTGTTGTTTTGATGATCAAACACCCTCAGGAGGCCGGGCAGGCCGTGGCAACATCACCCTCGTTTTGCAAATTAGGGAACGGAAGCTCGGAAGAGCAAAACGACCCCCACCGCCACCCAGGGGTGCGCAGCTCTAACTGCAGAGGCGGGGTTCACCCCCCGGGCTCCCTCTTCTTTCCCACCCCCCCCCCCCCCCCCCAGCACGGCACAGCCCCTCCCTTGACGAGGCAGGTCCAGGGCTCTGGCAGCGCCTGGAAGGCAGGGGAGCCGTCAGGGACCTGAGAACAGACAGAGGCCGTCCCAGGGCCGTAGCTCCATGGGCGTGTCCCCCCGGGGAGGCAGGGACGGGCCAATGGCCCCAGGGCGCCCCCCGGCGCCCCCCCAGCACAGGGCACAGCACCTGGCACCAGGGCGTGAAGTGCACGCTTCTCAACTGAAAGGACCCTTGGAGGTGACGCGGTCCAGGGAGCACCAGATTCCACGTTTCACGTGCCGACTGGCCCATCCTCTACCTGCCATTTTCTTGACCTTGACTCACGTTAAAACCTTCCATCCACCGCAGCGTTCTCCGGAGCCAGGATGCCGGGGCGGCGCCGGGGCGGTGGGCGAGCTCACCGTGCCGGTTAGAACACAGACCTCCGGACGCTACGACTGTTACAGCTCCACCCACCAGCACGACCCCTCTCCTGGGCACTGACCTTTCCCAGGGAGCCAAGGGAGAGTCAGGACAGGGAGTCACTCCCACGGCCACTCGGCCAGCGGGCCGCCTTCCCCGTGGGTCCCTCCGGGCCACCGAGCGGTCCTCCGTGGAAGGAGCACTGGGTCTCGGCAGCCCCTCCCCCAGTGCTGCCGAGCGCACCCCCCCTCCCAAGCTGGTCCCTTCCGGTTCCCAGCCTGCCTCCCAGCTCCAGGGACCAGGGGTCCCCAGGGGCACGGGGAGGGGGGGGTCCCTAGTGGGTCTGAAGGCCACGCGTCCCACAGAGGCGCTGTGTGACACCAGCCACAGGCGTCCCCTGCAGCCCACTGATGCCACAAACCACGGGCTCCAGCGTCTGTCACTCTGCCCCTAAGAAAAGACTATTTCAGGGGCGCCTGGGGGGCTGTCGGTTAAGCATCTGACTTCAGCTCAGGTCATGATCTCACGGTTCATGGGTTTGAGCCCCGCGTCGGGCTCTGTGCTGACAGCTCGGAGCCTGGAGCTGCTTCGGATTCTCTGTCTCCCTCTCTCTCTGACCCTCCCCTGCTCACGCTGTCTCTCTCTCTCAGAAATAAATAAAACATTAAAAAATTAGGGGCGCCTGGGTGGCTTAGTCGGTTGAGCGTCCGACTTTCGCTTAGGTCATGATCTCGCGGTTCGTGGGTTCGGGCCCCGCGTCGGGCTCTGTGCTGACTGCCAGCTCAGAGCCTGGAGCCTGTTTCAGAGTCTGCGTCTCCCTCTCTCTCTGACCCTCCCCTGCTCACGCTGTCTCTCACGCTGTCTCTCTCTCCTGGAAATAAATAAAACATTAAAAAAAAAAAAACATTAAAAAATTAAAAAAAAAAAAAGACAAGACTATTTCAAGGTGAAGTTTGCTTTAGGCTTCTGTGAACAGACCCCTTGAGAGCTTGGAGGACCAAGGTCTCCTGCCCAACATTTCTCTCTCTTTTCTGAATAAAGCGACATAAAGTTCCCGTTAGCAGGGGCACCGACGGGCCCTCGGGGCCTCAGTCCGACAACCCTTCACCTGCACAGGGTGGTGATGACACCAGCTCTTCAGGCTCTCCCTCCCTCCCTCATTCATTCATTCCCCCACACACATATTCATTCATTCCCTCCCTCATTCACTCATTCCCCTCACTTACTCTTTCACTCAGTGATCACTCACTGATTCATAGCCGTCCTCATTCATTCATTCCCTCATATACTTATTCATTCATTCATTCCCTCCCTCATTCATTAACTCACACACACATATTCATTCATTCATTCCCTCCCTCTTTCATTCACTCATTTACTCCTTCACTCTCTCCCTCCTTCCTTCCTTCCTTCCTTCATTCCCTCCCTCATTCATTCATTCCCCTGTTACTCTCTCTCATTGATCACTCACTGATTTGTATCCTCCCTCATTCATTCATCCCCTCACTTACTCCTCATTCATTCACTCCTGATTCATAGCCTCCTCATTCATTCATTCCCTCACACACTTATTCGTTCATTCCCTCCCTCATTGATTCATCCTCTCACCCCCTCACTCCCTCATTCACTCACTGATTCATATCTTCCCTCACTCATTCATTCCCTCCCTTATTCATTCATTCTGTCTCATTCATTCACTCACGTACATATTCATTCATTCCCTTATTATTTCACTCACTCATTTACTCACTCCTTCACTCCCTCCCTCCCTCATTCATTCATTACCTCCCTCATTCACTCATTCATTTCCTCCCTCATTCATCCCTCACATACTCATTCCTGCTGTCCCTCACTCACTCCATCACTCATTCACCCACTCACCAGCTCACTCCTGCACTGACTCACTCTCCTACGTGGTCTGTGAGTCACACTCACTCACCCACCCTCCCCACTGAGCGGCGCCCCCACCACCCTCCTTGGCCCCGTGGCTCTGCCATTAGAGTACCCCCCCCAAGCCCCAGGCCCTGGACCAGGCAGGGGCCCGTGGTTCTGGAGACCATGAGAGGCTGCATTACATCAGCCCAGACACACCTGGCTCCCTGCAGGGAGGGGCAGAGAGCTGGCCCCTGTGTCTTCCTGTTTGGTGAGGCCCCTGAAAACGGTAGTGGGGAAGGCCTTCGGTCTGCTGCTTAGAAACAGGGGCCATGTGAGATGACCCGGGGCAGGCAGGCATCTGGGGGACACAGCGCTTCGGGGACACGGGGAGTTGGCCTTCACGCCTACTGGGCAGCATGGGGAAGCCCTGAGGCAGGCGGTTCCGCACGGCCGTAGTGGGAAGAGCCGTTTCCCGCCTCCCGCCTCCCGCCTCCCGCCTCCCGCCCAGGCAGGTGCTGAGCTGACAGAAGGCGAGGGCCGAGGCTTTGTCAGTCAGCTCGGGCCCAAGCGGAGAGGCAGACACGGGAACTCTGGGCAGCACGGCCACTGGCCACAGGCAGAGGCAGTAATGGCCCTGGGCTGCTCCTTGCCAGCAACATGATCTAGGACACATGCCCTGCCCTCCCTGGGCCTCAGTTTCCCCCCCCGTAAGGTGGGGGTCAGGGTCTGGGTTCTGACCTGATTGGATGATATGCTCGGTCGGGTACCAGCTGGACAGGCCCCACCCCCAACGTGGCAGCTCCCACGTGGCTGTTACGACCTTGCTCTGGGGCCGCTGGGAGACCACGCGGAGGGCCACACTCGGTGCCCGTCGTGGGCGCAGATGCAGTGGGCCTCCCACCCCAGGGCTGTGCCTGCCGGGCCCCCCGGGCCAAACCAACGAGTTGCTCGCTCACTGGGGGGCCTCCCAGAGCACTAAGGGGTGCAAGCCTCAGACGGCACATGGGCTTTGGCGATTCCGCCATCAGTTCGAGGACTGAGTGCGTCTTAGAGATGCTGTCAAGCAGCATTTTTCCCTGCTGACGAGGGCCCAGCGCTGTCACCACATTCCGGGAAGGTCCCTGCGCCCCAGTGGCCAAGTGTCAGGCCCGATTATCGCTCACGCATAACAACTCAGAGCAACTTGAGAAACTTGGGGGAGAAATAATTTGATTTGCCCGAGATAATAACCATGTTTGAATTAGCACCAATCTACCTTCCGATACTTGCGGGCACGTTTCCCTCTCTGTCCCGGGAGGCCTCCTGTGCTTCCGGCCGGGCCAGGGACAGACGCGGGGTGGCGCTCCACCCCCCTGCCTGCTTCCCAGGCCCTTGCTGCTGGGGAGTCCCCCCTCTTGGCCCCTCCCCACCTCCGTAAGCCCGTGGGGCCAGCAGCTGACATCAGTGACAAGGCCAGTGGTTGGGGTGGCACTCGGGGTCCCCAGGAAGGACCCGGGCCTCCTGTGGGCAGCCACGGGGCAGGAGCGTCACCTACCCACCTGCCAAAGGGCACACACCTCCAAAGGGAGGTGGGGAGGGGAGGGGAAACAGGGGTGGTGGAGAGGGGGCACCAGTGGGGAAGAAGAGGGAGGGGAGGGGGGGTGGCAAGGAGAAGAGGGGAGACTGGGTGGTGGGCCTACTGTGTGCTGGGCACTGTGCCAGCCTGATGCCCTCAGCACCTCTTCCTCCTGCGGACGGAGCCCAGAGAGGGTCTAGCACCCGAGTCAAGCTGCACAGCCCAGGGGCACAGGGGTGACCTGAGGGCAGCGGGCCCCGACTCCGCACCATTTCCCACAGGGTGCAGCAGAGCAGAGAGCACCCTGGAGGTCCCCCTGGACGAGGGGGTCCCCCTGGGGTGGGAGGCAGGAGAAGGTGGGGAGCCCCGCGGGGGGCTGCGGGGAGGAAAGGGGAGCGCCGGTCCCCGTGGGAGGGGGCTCTCACCAGAACACGTGGTCCTTGGTCACGCGCTCCTGCAGCAGCGTCCACTTCTTCCCCAGGTCCGATGACACGTACAGCTTCAGGGCAGAGAAGAGAAACAGAAGTCTGGTCACGCTGCGAGGAACGAGCCTCCTCTGGCTGGGGGTCCTCTGCCCTGGACCATGGACGCCCCATGGAGGTCGGGGGGCCCGTCCAGCCCAGGCAGGCCCTGCGCTCACGTGGGGGCACCGACCGACCTCCCAGAGGCTGAGGGTCAGGCGCAGGGGCTCCGCGAAGAGCCGTTCTCACCCCCAGGCCGGCTGGTGGAGACCCGGCCAGGCGGACGTCCGAGGGGCGGCGCCTGAGTGTTGCTGTCCGCGGGGACCCGACAGCCGCAGGAGGCGGGGACGCAGGGCGTTTGGGGAAGAAGGGAGCAGGGTCTGCAGAGGGCCTGCGGTGGGAAGGAGGGTCCGTGCAGGCAGGGACAGCGGGGTCCCCTCCGTGCAGGCCTCCTGGGGACACAGGGCCTGTGCTCGCAAGGGCCCCACACTTGGGTTTCATGCTCTGTGCTCACGTGATGAAACAGTGAGCTCGTGGGGGAGCTCAGAGCCCCGGCCCCCGCGAGGTCTTGCCTCCTCCTGGGACAGACCCTGGGAGGCCTGGGCTGGGGAGGGTCCGGGTCAGTGCCCCGCGTGTGCCGAGTCCTGAGGCAGAGCCCTGGGGGCCTGGGAGGGTCTGCACTCGCTCTGCCAGTGTCCCCGGACATTGTGGAGTGTGATGTCCACACACACACAAACAGCTCACAAAAAGCACCATGACAGCCCGGCCCCCCAGACCCCCTCCCCTCTGACAACCACCCCTAGCGGGGGGAAAGCACAGCATAGGGGGTGGTCCGTGGTCCCGTAACAGTGGTGCCCGGTGACAGGTGGCAGGTGCCTGTGGTGAGCACAGGGTAACAACATCCTGGAATCCCGATGTTGTACAGGAGAAACTAATGTAACACTGTGTGTCAACTGTACTTCGGTTACAGAAACCCACGGAGCCAGCAGGAGAGACATGCAGAGGAAGGAAGGGTTGTCCTGATTTTTAAACATTTCTCATGGTGTCCCGGCCCCTGCAGAGCCCACCAGGACCCGGCTGGTAAGATGAGGAGCCTGGGCAGGGCAGGGGGGGGGCAGGTCCTGTCTGTCCCCACTCCCCTTCTCCAGCCAGCTCTGCCCCACGTCAGGCAGCTGCACTCCTGGCTCTGGGGGGGGAGGAAACGCTAACCCCGCGCTGGCTCGCGGCTACAGTCAAGGTCCCAGGTACATCTTTCGTGATTTTTCCAAGTTTTCTTTGCTGGCCTCCCCTGTCGATGGGTGGGGTTTATGGGAACGTTAAAGCATCCACACTATTCCTGGGGGCAGAGGAAGGGGACAGGAGGGTTGTTTCATTTATTTATTTATATGTTTGTTTATTTTTAAGAGAGAGACACAGCATGAGCAGGGGAGGGTCAGGGAGAGAGGGAGACACAGAATCTGAAGCAGCTCCAGGCTCTGAGCTGTTAGCACAGAGCCCGACGCGGAGCTCGAACCCACGAACCGCGGGATCATGACCTGAGCTGAAGCCGGACGCTTAACCAACTGAGCCACCCAGGCGCCCCTAAATGTTTATTTATTTTTGAGAGAGAGAGAGACAAGGAGACACAGAATGGGAAGCAGGCTCCAGGTTCTGATCTGTCAGCACAGAGCCCGACGCGGGGCTCAAACCCATGAACTGTGAGATCATGACCTGAGCCGAAGTTGGACGCTTAACTGACTGAGCCCCCAGGCGCCCGGGGCCGGGAGGGTTTAAGGGACCCCTGCACCATGGAGCAGAGCACACGTGGAAATCCTATACGGACACAGACCAAAGCGTGTGTCACAAAGGTAGGCCTGGCCAGTCACCCCCTGGCAGATGGGGCATGCTGTGCCTCAGGGGCGGGGGAGGCCTGTGTCCCCCGAACTCTGCCTCTCAGCTGCTGTGCCACCATGTCACCTCCCTGCCTCAGTTTCCCCATCTATAAAATGACGCCTGAAGCTGCACAATTCTGCAGGGGGGAGTCTGTGACCTGTGAGCCCCAGGCTCCCCAGCACATGCTGTGTGACACCCCAAAGCTTTCCAAACCCCAGTTCCCCACTTTCTGAGCTGGGGTCCAGGTCCCTCCTCACAGGGACGTGTGGGGTTGCAAAGTGGCTGTGCTAGTTACATGCTCCCCGCGTCCTGTCCACGGCCCATAGGGATGGTATCAACGGGGGCAGGGCTGGTGCTGAGGGCCGACTGTGCGAGCCTGTGCCGGGCACGGCCTGTCTCGGACCGTCCCCAGGACGTCCCTTGGAGTCAGACGCTTTTATCAACCTGTTTGTGGATCAAGAACAGCAGCTGGGACCCGCCGAGCGATTTGCCGGGGGTTGGTCGCTGGCAGAAGCCGGGTTGGAATTCTCTGTGATTTGAACTCCCTTTCATTTACTCCTCTGTACTCAAGACGTGTCTGGAACAAGCCAGTAAGCAGAGCAATTTCATGGCCAGCGCTCAAAACTAAGGAAGAGAGCCTCTGTACCCACAGTACAATGGCCTCAGTGTCTCCATCTGTAAAATGGGTCTAAGAAGCCATGCTAACAGCGGCTAGACCGGGAGCCCACATCTGCTGGCTTTCTGGGCTGGCCAAGGCATTCTGGGCTCTGTGCTCCCCATCCGACCCGGCCTGTCCCTGTCAGGGCCCTAAGCCACAAAGAGCAAGTGAGGCCACTGGTGGTGTGACAGCTGCTCTTCACGAAAGAAGGGTTCGTGGAATTTTTGAAGAGAAACTGGGGTTTACCAAGTGTCAGCCCTGTGCCGTCCTGACCCTCAGCATGGATGGAAGTCCGCTCCGGCCCTGCCTCGTACCAATCATCCACTAGCTGCCGAGGCCAGGACCCCCGCCCAGTCCTCACCATCCCACTGCCGCGTGCACGAGTCACCACACTCCACGTGTGCTGGGCCCCTCCCCTGACCCATGGCCGCTGCACTCCTGCCCCCCTCCACCCCGCGGCCCTGCTGAGCCACCCACATCTCACTGAGGCCTCCTCCCTGCAGCCCTCCACCCACTCGGCCAGCCCCTGCTGCATGACACAGCCACTAGGGTCTTTTCCCGGACACACATGTGACCGCGTCTCCCTCCTGCATCAGACCTCCCAGGCGGTGCCGGGCCCTGGGACAGAGCCCACCCTCAGGACCCCTGGGCTGCCTGGCCTCCCTCTAGCTGCTGTCCGTGCCCATACACCCCCCGAAACATCCCGCACCCCTGTCACACCCAGCTCCGAGCTCATGCTTGACTGTGGTGCGAATGTGTCCCGTGGGGTCCTCTGGGCACCCGCGCCTGCTGTTCCCTCTGGCTGGAATGCCCTTCCTTGCCCCCAGTCAGTGTCCAAGACTCGGTCTAAAGCCACCTGTTGGTCAGGGTTGTGGCGAAGGTCACTTGTTCCGAGGCCCTGGAATCGCAGTCCATTAGGTGGAGAAGGCCTGTCAGGGCTCAAGGCCCAGGGAGAACCGGCCCGCAGTGCCTTCCCGGTACGGAGCCCCCCACCCTGGCCTGGGGGCGGCATGCCCCAGAGCATGCCCCCTGGCCTGTCACCCCCGGCACCGGGGACCCTGGCACTTCCCTCCTGCGCCCCTCAGTCCCCTTCCACCTCCACCTGCGGCCTCCTTGCCCCCTGGCTTCTAGTGGACTCCTTGTCTCTGAGGCCACAGATTCGAGTCCTGTGTTTGTTCTGGATCCTTCCACCACCACCCCCGGTTGACCCCCTTTGTGGCTCCTCCTTTTCTGCAGCCTGACGGGACAGTCTGTGAGCCCCGTGACAACAGAACGTGGTCCCCTCTCTCGGCAAACGTGAAGTCCTCTCTCCTACTGTCATCGGCTTGAGGAAAACACCCAAGGCTGCGACTGAGGCTGAGCCTCTGCGAGCATCCTGGGAGGGCGGGGCCCCCAAACAACCCCAGAGGGAGGTCGACACATGCTCTGCTGAAGCGCGTGCGGCTCGCTGGCACCCACCCCGCCTCGCGCACCTCTCGTCCCGCGCCCGGGGCTCGTCCCCGCTGGGTGCGCTGAGTGAACGGGCAAATTCGCTTCTGGGCCCAGGGCTGCCACACTTCTCTGGAACGTTTTCAGCAAATGCCTTTGGCTTTGCAGGTGGGTGGTCCCTGTCGCAACGACTCATCGCTGCCCTTGGAAAGGGGAAAGCCCAGAGCCCGGAGGTGGGTGGACAGGTCGCCTGTGCCCCGGGAAGACTGTATCGACAAGCGCAGGTACCAGGCCATGTCTGCGGACGCCGGCTCTAGGGTCCATGTGATGAAATGATCACTTTAATATTTTCCAAAAAGGGCTCTTTGGGGAGTTTTCATCCCCTGGAACATGAGATTCAGGAGCGCAAAGGAACTCATCCATCTGAAGTCGTGCCTGGCATGTATGCATAGGTGCTCAATAAACACCAGTGGATCAAGCGGCTGGTTGTATCGAATTTCCAGCAGGGCCCCCGTGGGAGAGCCTGGACACACGTGCAGGCACCGAGATGCACGCACACATCACACAAGAAGCCATTGCCCCTTTGCTGATGAAAGAGCGGAAGCCTAGAGCGGTGAGTAAGCCGCTCAAGGTCAGGCCGTGTCTGCTTCCAGAAGCAGTTCGTGTCTTGTGGGCCTGCGTGTAGCACCCCAGCGGCTGAGGGGTCCCCTGGGGAAGGAGGACGGGCCACCTCGGGTCCTTTCCCTGGGCCCCCTGAGTGACCAGCCCCTTCCAGCTCACGTCTCCATTTCTCCATCTGCGAATCGGGACAGAATGGCTCCTGCCCTTGGCCGGTGTGCGGCCCTCAGCGTCCAGGAGCCTGGGAATCGGCTCTGTGCATTATCGGGTGGCATTTTTGCTGCCCTCCCCACAGACCCTGCCCCAGGGCGTGATGGAGCCTTTGCAATCTGCTCCCACGGGAGGGGACTTTAGAATGTGCCATAAGCGGCTGCAGGAATGGAGTGTTTCCGCTCCAGACAAGCCAAACGCCAGGAAATAATGAGGAGCAGACACACCAGGGACATCCTAGCTGTTCCAGTAAACCCTGCACGCCGGGGCCCCCGCGGAACGGCTGATTTGCTCCAGTTCGCGCATCCGAGAAGGGAGCGGAGGGGGCTTGCCAGGACACATGCGCCGCTGACGTCAACATGAGAGGCTCAGGAGTCAGAGCCAGGGAGGGGTGAAGCAGGCAAGCAGGACGAAGTTGGGGTAGGGCATCTGGCGAAATGCGTGCCCATCGGTCTTACGCGGTGATTAGGGGGCCGCCCTCTGATGGGGCTGGAAAGTGGGAATCCGACCTGCCCTGACTCTCTTGCAGCTAGATTCCGGGGTGGAGATGCACCTGTGGGACAGCGAGAGGGTGAATGTGGCACGGGGGCGTCGTCACCAGCCACCTGGGGCCGTGCTGCTGGCCCGCAAGGTCGCAGGACTTGCTGCGGCATCCGTCCTCAGCTGCAGGGCGTGGAGGGCGGCTGTCAGGGAGTCCGCAGCCAGTTCTGCATCCCGCTGTCCATCACTGGCTCGGTGGATGCCACCGGGCAGCCCAGCTGCGGCAGTGACGATCCCAGGTGCGCGGGTCTCCACATCGGCTGGGTGTCCTCGACTGTGGTAAGTCCCCCCACCTGCTTCCTAGCATGTGAGGCAGAGGCTGCTCGGGTGGGATGGCTCTGTGGCTCCCAAAGGATCCTTGGGGGTCCAGCCTGGACCCCCCCAACAGTTTAGAGAGCACCCCGTTCCCCACGCCAAAGCCTTCCTCTGCTAAAATACCCTGTCCTGAGCTCTGTCAGACACAAGGGGTCAGAGCACAGAGGAACACACGCTCACGTGTAAGATTCTCACAGAAGCCCGATTTCTGCCCAATTCTGAAATCTCTGAGGTCAGGGAGGAAGTGGGACTCTGGAGCCTGGCGCCCTGCAGGACTGTGAAGCTGCCGACCCTTGTGTTGTCGGGGGCCTCCTGCCCGCCCCTCCCTCACTGTGCTTCAACCCGGATAAATGCGGCTGGAGGGTGGCGGGCGTTCAGTTTTCTTCCAACAGCTTGTGCGGTCATCTCTGTCGTGTTGAAGTTGTACTCAAACGTAAATGTGCTTCGCGATCCATTCATTCCCTGCGCCTCTCCTCAGACTCCCTCTGCCAGGAAGGCTTCCCTGATTGGTCATCTAAGGTGACTTTTCTTCCCTACTAAGTAAAGCTCTAGAAGACAGTCCCGGGCTCAGATTCATTTCTCACAGTGCTGGGAACCAGGAGGTTCTAGACGGCGGACAGAATAAAACATAACGGTGGGTCTATCGTGTGTTAGAGGCTAAGTGTCCCGGGCTGTGCCTGTAAGCAGGTCCCGGGGACAAGCACAGGGAGCCAGGAAGGTCAGTGCCGTGCCAGCGGTGGCCGGAGAGTGCGGGGAGGGGCTGCCCGGCCCTCACATCCTTTTGATCCCAGGCTCCCAGTGCAGGTGGTTGAGCCTTGAGAGAAAAACCACTGCATCAGGCGCTCACCCAGGAAGGCTCCAGGTCAGGTAACCCCAGACCGCCCCGAGGTACAGTGTCCCGGCGAAGGGGGGCCCTGAAGGCAGCGGGGCAGGCCGGTCAGGGGTGGAGGACAGTGTGTGCTGGAGGGAGCGTCTGGCTCTGTGTCCACCTGCAAGACCTTGAGAACGGATGACTGGCTCCAGCCCTGTGGAAGCTGACCTTGTCACATGACCTGCTTTGGCCAATGGCGTGTGGGGATGTGATATATTCCAGGTCAAGGCAGACGTGCTAATGCTACTGTGGCAGCTTCCCTGCCCCCCACCCCGGGGCCTCTGCCCTCCTCCATGAGAACAGCATGTCCCCAGGTGACCTCAGGTCCCTGAATTAGAGACATGCGGAGATCCGAGTGTCTCCACTAGCCAGGAGCCATGTCTAGCCAATCCCAGCAGAGCCTGGCAGAGCCCTGGCCAGCTCACAGTCCGGGAACAAGTCAATAATGCTTGTTGCTGGGAGCCAGTGAGGTTGGGGCTGCTCGTTACTCAGCACGGCACCTGCGGATGCCTGCTACACCAGGTCTGTTGGCATAAAGAGTCAGTGTTGCTCTGCCCACCGCCCTCCTTCTTAGAAGGTAGAGAGCTTTAAAAGCCATAAGAACCTTAAAATTAAAAAAAAAAAACCCACCAAGACCCTATTGTCATTGTTATTCATTTCCTCAAATTCCTCATTCCTTTTGTAACCACCACTAAGCCATTTTTTCCTCTCTTTTTTCTTTCCTTAGAGTTGCAGAAAAGAACCATGGAAAATAACCAAGATTTCAGCTCCATTAATTTTTCAGGGCACCATAAATTAAAGAGCAATTGCAATGCAGTCAGTTTCTGCAGGAAAATAAGTCTCCGCGATTGTGTTTTAGTCTAATTACATGGAGGGCTAAGTAGTGCTATTAATACCCAGCAGCACACGCTGGCCCAAAGGAGGGTGCCAGGGGCAAAGAGACAGCCCATGAGGCCAGGGAATTCCGGGACGCCAGGAGGTGAGGACCAGACCTGGGCAAGGAGGCCAGTCCTGTAGAGAGGCCATGGCTCAATAAGCCGGAAGTCTCCATTTAGAGCCCTTGACCTGCGTCATCCCTAATGGAAGAAATCCATCCTTTTATTCACTGATTGATCCAACGAATGGGCACCCATCCATCCATCTCCACCATCAACGACCCCCAACCCCCCCCATCACCCACCTCCCCAATCCATCCATCCACCTCATCAATGTCCCCCAAGCCCACCCATCACCCCCCCATCCATCCACCTCATCAATGTCCCCCAACCCCACCCATCACCCACCCATCCATCCATCCACCTCATCAATGTCCCCCAACCCCACCCATCACCCACCCATCCAACCACCCATCCACATTTCAACATCCATCCATGAAACCAATGTTGTCAGCCAGGAACTTGAGATAAAATAGTGTGAACACTACAACAGTCTCTGCCCTCAAGGACCTTACCCAGACAGTAACTGAATAATATCAGAGATATGTAGGCACACCGCAATCAGCCCTGGGAAAGAAGTGCACTGGGGTCTGGAGGCGGGTGGAGCCGGGGGCCCAAGCAGGCCTGGGGGTTGCAGAGGAAGGTTCTGGAATGGACAGCTCCACTCCCATTTGCCCCCAGACCTCGCTCTGCCCTTCTCCACTCTTCTCTGCCCTGGGGGCTGGCCTGTGTGGGTGTCGTCCGCTGCCCCGGCTGAGTCCCCCTTCTCTGGGCCCGGCTTCCTCCTGGGCGGCTGCCAGAGACTCTGGGGGCCTCCCCTCCACACTGAAAGGCTGAAAAATCCCCACACCTGTGAATGTGACCCTACAGGGCACTGAAGGACGGGGCAGATGTGATTCACTGAAGATCTTCAGATGGGAAGGTTCCCCCGGGCCCCCGGGTGGGGCAGGGGGTCCTCAGATCTCTCTCCCTCTCTACGAAAACAGAGCAGACAGAGAGGAAGGTGCTGCCCCTGAAGGTGACTGTCTCCTTCACAAGCCACCAAATGCCAGTAGGTGGAAGAGGCCAGGTCCCGCCGGGAACCTCCAGAGGCAGCGAGGCCCTGCAGACACCTTGACTTTGACCCGGAGGGACCGACTTTGGACTTCTGGGAGGCCACACTCCTATTGCTGTAAGCCGTCAGTCTGCCGGCGTCAGCCACGGCGCTGCAGGGAGCCAGCACCAGCCTCGGCTACTCTGGGGCTCAGGGGTGCTCCTTCCTCCACTGGCCCCTGCCCTGCCCTGGGCACCCCCTCCGCAGCCCGCAGGCCCCGGGCGGGGGTCCCGTCCCTGCTGCACCGGCCCCGAGTCTCTCCTACCCCCTGGGGCTGGAAAGAGCCTCCACTCCACTCCCCCTGATTGCCCTGGGGAGGCGCCCTCGGGTCCCTTGGGCACAGCCCCCGAGGAGAGGACCCGAGAAGGACGCTCCCTCCCCTAGTGACGGTGGGCACGCATCCCAGGCTGGCAGAAAGACCTGGCAGGGCCAGCGCGGGAGGGTGTGCGGAATGTTCTAGAAACGGAAGACGCCTTACAGCTGGTACATGCAGAGGGGAGGCAGAGAGGGAAGAAGCCGAGTAACTACCTACCATTTTTCCATCCCGCCTCACGCACTTACCTGTGCCAGGTGCACCTTTCACCTTCCCAACCTCGTCCCCACACAAGGCAGCGACCGGGGGGGGGGGCATCCAGACCACCCAGAGCCCGGGGAGAGGGGCCCCTGGGACCCCGTGAGGAGGAGGCCGCACGCGGCCACGAGCCCACCGCGCTCCAGCCCCGCCGCTCACCTTGCTCTCCTTGCTGTAGGCCAAAACCTTGTCCTCCTCCTTGGGGTGAAAAATCAGAGTCTCCACCGCGAAGGGGACGAGCTGCTTCTGGAAGGTGGCCCCCTCGTCCGTGCTGAGGAACAGGCTCTGGTCGCGGTCGCTGAGCGAGGAGCTCACCAGGACGATCTGGAACACAAGGCCGGGGAGGCGTGAGGGCAGGGCCGGAATCGTCGGGCCACCCCTTGCCCCCTCGTGTGGGCCACTCGGTGGCTCAGCCATGTGCCGGCTCCGCGGGAATTCCCCAGCCCGGTGCCGGCGGCTTCGAGCAGACAGTGAGGCCCCGACGACCAGCTGGGGTTCCTGGAGTGCGGGACCCGTTCCGTGGGGGCGGCAAGGGCCCAGCGTCAGCCATCGGGTGGAAGTACTGTTTCCAGGCCGACCGGGGCCCACGGAGACCGCGCAGAGACGCAGAGAACGGGACGGGGTCGGGGGTGACCCTGGGCATCGAGTGCGCCGTGCAGGGAGCGGGCCTGGAGGCGTGGCCTCAGGTCAGGGTCTGCGAGGCCCTGATGAGAGGGCCCCGCAGTGGGTCGATGGCATCACCTGGGAAGAGGTGCCCACGTCCCGCCCTCCCTCAGAACAGGGTCTTTACAGAGAGATGGACTTAACCATCTCAGGATGGGGTCGCCCTGGAAACCGACAAAGTACCCATGGAGCAGACAGCCCCTCACACGCACCCCCCTCTGCCAATGGCCATCGGGGGTGGGGGGTCCCACGGAGCCTGCCTTGTCCCTGTCCAGAGAATCAGGGAAAGCACGGCTGATGGGGAAACTGAGGCACAGAGGGGGGCCGGGGTGCTGGCAGGGGTGGGGCTAGCCTGGCCCAGACAAGCCGGCTTTCCCAGGGGGAGGCTGTGGGGCACTGAGCCCCTTCGTGAGGGCCCCCCCACTCCCCGGCACCCCTCTAGGGATGATGAAGCACACGAGGTATAAATCAAGTCTGCACAAAAAGACCCTGTCTTTACAAATGAGAATCCGATTGTCCTTCCCAGGGGAGCCCTGAGGGGCTCCGCACATGCTGACCGGTCTCCCAGGCCACGGAGCCCACCCGCCCCGGCGAACGAGGGTCTGAAGGAGGTGGGCAGGGTGCTCCCGGAGCCTGGTCCCTCAGAGGCCATGCTCTGGGGGGGGGGGGGGGAGGGGTCCGAGGTGGCCCTGCGGTGTGGTTTCCGCGCGGGAGAAGCCGAGGGCCTGGGAGCAGCTGGCGTGCCCGCCTCACGTAAGCCGCTTCCCGGGATGGGAGCTCAGGCCCCGTGCAGAGCCTCAGAGCAGACTCAGGGGCAAGTGCAACTCCTGTGGCCTCACACGGGCCAGACGGCAAGCAAGCGTGTTGTGATTCTGTCCGTGGTAAGTGGAGAAGGTAAGCGTAGCCGTGTTGGTGGGGACGCACAGAAATAAGAATGGGGGGGGGGAGAGGATTATCATCCAGCCACAAGAAAACGGGGTGACATGGACGGACCCTGAGGGCGCTGTGCTACGTGAGATAAGTCAGAGAGTGAGTTCAAGCTCCGTGTTGGGCTCTGTGCTGGCAGCTCAGAGCCTGGAGCCTGCTTCGGATTCTGTGTCTCCCCCTCTCTCTCTCTCTGCCTCTCCCCTGCTTGATCTCTCCCCACCTCCCTACCCCCCCCCCCGTCAAGATAAACATTGAAAAAAAAAAAAAACCCAAAACCCTCAAAATAGTAAAAACACTCGAAAACAAAGCCTGAGCTCACAGATGCAGAGAACAGATGGGCGGTGTGGGGGTAGGGGTGGGCGAGGGGTGAAGGGGCCTGAAGGCACAGACCTCCCCTTATAAAATGTGTCCAGCACAGGGACTACACACAGTAATAATTCAGTGCATATCTGAAGGTCGCCAAGAGAGTAGATCTTGAAAGCTCTCGTCACACGAAAACGCTGTCACTATGCGTGGTGACAGATGACAGCCAGCCAGGCGTCCTGGGGTGATCATTTCACAACACACACAAATGCCAGATCTGTATGTCGTTCACCTGCAAGCAAGCTAGTGCTCTGTGTCCGTTATACCTCCGTTAAAAAAAAAAAAATGAACGGAAGGAAACACAGGAGACCTTAACAGGGGTTGGTTTTAAGTGGCAGAGTTCAAAAGAATGTATTTTTTTATTTTAGATAAACGTTTTGGTGTAGAATCATTTTAAATGTACAGGGAAGTTGCAAAGACAGTGGGATCTCACATGAGAATCAGACGTTCGCCCCAGTGTCTGCACGCACAGGTCATTTGCACGACACGCTGCCTTCTACTGGTGCCCCCCCCTCCCGCCCGATGGCTTTTTCCAGTCCAGGACCCCATCCAGGACCCCACATGACATTCAGTCCTTGCATCTCCTTGAGTTCCTCTGGCCCCTGACTTTCTGAGACTTTCTCCTGGTTTTTTGTGACCTTGACAATTTTGAGATGTTCTGGCACATTGCAGACTGCCTTTTAGTAATTGTTTTTATTTTTAAATTTATTTTTAAGTTTTTATTTTACCTTTTGAGAGAAAGAGACAGAGCACGAGTGGGGGAGGAGCAGAGAAAGAGGGAGACACAGAATCTGAATCAGCTCCAGGCTCTGAGCTGTCAGCACAGAGCCCGATGCGGGGCTCGAACCCACGAACCATGAGGTCATGACCTGAGCCGAAGTCAGACACTTAACTGACTGAGCCCCCAGATGCCCCGCAGACTGCCTCTTGGACTTTGGCTTGTCTGTGCTTTCCTCGCAGTCACACTGGGCTTACAGGTCTCCGGGGGGACGGGCATGAAGGTGAAGACCCCCCTGACCACAGCGGGTCCGGAGCACATGCCATCGAGGGGACCTATGGTCGCTGTGCTGGCCTTGCTGTGTGGCCACCGGCGACTGCAACGCATTTTGTCACCGTGTCCATGCTGTCCCTTTGGAGGACATCCCCAGGCACAGCCCAGGTCTGTCTGCCGAGGGTGGCTCCCCTCCTTGAGGGCAGAGGAGTTATGTGCATTCCGGAGAACTCTTCTCTGGGAGACCTTCTCCTTTGCTTATTCAATCATTTATTTACATCACTATGAGCTCATGAATATTTATGTGAGACACTGAGTTGTAATTCAAGGCTGTTGTCATTTTGTTGCCCAAAGGCTGCAGCTCTGGCCACTGGCAGCTCTTTGTGGCTCCTGCGCCTCCGTTGCCCTAAAACAGCCCGCTTCTAGTTCTTTCTAAAGGGTCTGCGCTGCACCGGGCCTCGCTGGATAATCTGCAGGCAGACACACAACTCACCCACATCTCTTACCCTCTTAGTGGAGATGGCGCCGTTCATTCAACATCTGCCCAAAGCGCAGCCCACACTCTGTGCCCCTCCCCCCCCCAGGGCAGCGACCCCTTCCACGGGGCCAGGGGACCCCAAATTTCACTCATCAAGGTCTTTCTCGTACTGATCCTTTCTCAATGTTCTTACGAGGCAACTACTTATTTGTTTGCCTCCCCCGGGAGGTCGCGATCCTGGAGCGTGGGGACAGCGACTGCGCTCCGATCTTGTACCGCAAGCAGGCAGCGCGGGCCTCACAAGGCGCCGGCAGCTAATCCGGGCCGACGGGTACAGAACTCACGCACGAGTGCCTCCGTCTCATTTGTGCCTCCCAAGGAATTTTTTGTTGGCTTTTCTCCTTCAGGAGGAAAACAGTCTTCGGGACATTTAAGAAGCCCGGAGGCCCGACGTCATCAAAAATGTCATTCACTGATTTCCCACCATTATTCAAAGCTTCGCACATCGACGAAGGCTCATTCATTCGTTCCTTCATTCATTTATCCGTTCATTCATTCTTCCACGGTTGCTAAAACGGCAGAATCAAGCAAAGATTTGGGTAGGCACAGGGCTTTGAGTCAGCAGAGCGGGGAGAAAGTAGCAGCCAGGTGTAGGGCAGAAAGGAGGGCTTCCTGGAGGAGGTGATACCCAGATGTGCCTTGAAGAATAGATGGGAAATCGACTGGCAGACCCAGGGGAGGTGTTTCCGTCAGAGGGGACGTGATGACTGGAGGGTGAGGACCCCTGGCCTGCCTGTTGCCCTGGCCTCAGGCTCCAGGTGTCAGCGATTTCAGACCGCTGGTGTGTTCCTCCGGTTCACCAAGGCCGCTCACATCTTGACCTTCCACACACTGTTCCCGCGGCTGGAATGTACAGCGGGACCAATATAACCCCGACCTCATCGCTGGTCATTCAGACTCAGATGTGACGATTTGCGAATGACACCAAAATCCACACGCGATAAAACTAAAAGAGCTACTTGAAATTTTCTGAGCCCCTAGTCCTGGGCAACGGCAACAAGGCTGAATACGTCTCATTCAATTTGGGTGTCCCTGCTCTGCCGATGCCCCCGGCATGCGTTCAGCCTGCTTTTATGATAGGACACACTTCCTATCTCTTATCAAACACCTCCTCATCCACGGAGGCGCATTTCAAACATCACCTCCTCCAGGAAGCCTTCCAGGATACACAGCCTCCAACAGTTACTCTAATCCCTCCTCTGCCCCTTCTGCCAGCATCTCGGGCATTCAGTTACTCAGCCCATCATTCCTAGTGTCCTTCCCTTTGTTGAGTCTCCCTTTCCATTTGGTTGGAGCCTATGGCTTTGCCACTGCTGTATCTATCTCTGCCTGGAACACTGGGCCTGGCACCGAGGGGGCGCCATGTTCCCAATAAATGGGTGTGGATGCTATCTGCTCACGAGTTAGGGCCTGGGTACGGCTCACCCCTCCATCGCACCCGTGCCTGGGGCGGCACCAAGGTGGAGAAAGAAGCAGAGGAAGTGGTTCTGGCCGGGGACCCAGCAATCTGGATCGGGGGCTATTTTCAGCCTCCGAGTGGGACAAGGAAGCCAGGAAAGACGGGGGGGGGGGGGGGGGGGGAAGTGCTGACAAGGAGGAGATTGTTGGAGCAAAGAAAACAAATCAATTAGCAGCGCGCAGAGTGGAGGCGGCAGATTGCTCTTCCAAATCAGGAGCCAGACTATTTTCACTGGTGTATTTTTACTGCTTTCTATTCCGGGGAAGCATATGGTACCTGCTGTAGGTTCTGGGGGCCCCCGAGCCTGGGTGCTTCAAAATCGGAGGCCACACGTTAGAGAGAAATACGGGACAGACTCAAAGGATGAGCGGCCAGCCCGTTTG